GTGGTCATTGTAGTGCCCTCTTACACCAGTGGTCATTGTAGTGCCCTCTTACACCAGTGGTCATTGTAGTGCCCTCTTACACCAGTGGTCATTGTAGTGCCCTCTTACACCAGTGGTCATTGTAGTGCCCTCTTACACCAGTGGTCATTGTAGTGCCCTCTTACACCAGTGGTCATTGTAGTGCCCTCTTATACTGGTGGTCATTGTAGTGCCCTCTTACACCAGTGGTCATTGTGGTTTCCTCTTACACCAGTGGTCATTGTAGTGCCCTCTTACACCAGTGGTCATTGTAGTACCCTCTTACACCGGTGGTCATTGTGGTGCCCTCTTACACCAGTGGTCATTGTAGTGCCCTCTTACACCAGTGGTCATTGTAGTACCCTCTTATACTGGTGGTCATTGTAGTGCCCTCTTACACCAGTGGTCATTGTAGTGCCCTCTTACACCAGTGGTCATTGTGGTACCCTCTTACACCAGTGGTCATTGAAGTGCACCCTTACACTGGTGGTCATTGTAGTGCCCCCTTACACTGGTGGTCATTGTAGTTCCCTCTTACCTTGGTGGTCATTGAAGTGCACCCTTACACTGGTGATCACTGTAGTGCCCCCTTACACCGGTGGTTAGAGAAGCCCTCTATTACATTAGTGGTTAGTGGAGAAGTGTCCTCTTAGATTGGTGTCTGTGAAGGAAAAGCCCAATTATATTGGTGGTCAGTGGAGAAGATGCACCGTAAATGCCACCGCGACGCACAACCATTTGTGCGTTCCTGCAAATGCAGAAGTGTGAAGGGTTCATAAATCTGGCCCCTTATTCAGCTGTTCTTACAGCATAATATCTGCAGTTAAGTGACGGGGTCAGGGGTGCCTTTATTTATGCCTCTTGGGGCATCTCCAGCTATTCTGCAAATCAAAAAATATCTTTTGATTCCTTCTGACCCTCAGCCTGTGGGAAGCACTGATGAATACAATCAGAAATTAGCACAAAATGACATTTCCCTGTGCACACAAACACTCCCGCAGACCAAACATTTGCACATGATGGGGTGCATGAAATAAATCCTCGCATGGCGTTGTAAAATGTCATTTCTGACTGTCGCCATGGGCAACCCTGCGTATTCCATTCCGGAGCGCTCTCCCTGTTATTAAACTCCCACACACACTGATCAGCAGTTAAAGGCATGACTGCCCGCGCAGCACAAGCAGCATTTGTTGTAAGTGCTAATGACAGTCAGCCCATTTGTCAGAAATGAGTCCTGATCTGCAAGACAGCTGCTGAGGGAGAGGAACCATGTAACCAATATGTTCCTTAAAAGACACGACATCCTCTCCAATGACCGGCTAATAGGGAAATAAATAGGAGGAAATCTGCTATTGAGTGATCCTGTCATGGAGGAACGTTGTGTCATGAGAATGATACGACTTAGTATATCAACGCACCGTATTATGATTGATTTGGTCACATTGCTGGTCGAAGGAGAGGCCGAATTCTCAGTGATGTCATTGGTCTCTGATAAATGGATAGGCTGCATTCTCAGTGATGTCACCGGTCTCTAGTGAATGGATAGGCTGCATTCTCAGTGATGTCACCGTTCTCTAGTGAATGGATAGGCTGCATTCTCAGTGATATCATCGCTCTCTAGTGAATGGATAGGCTGCATTCTCAGTGATGTCACCAGTCTTTAGTGAAAGGATAGACTGCATTCCCAGTGATGTCACCGGTCTCTAGTGAATGGATAGGCTGCATTCTCAGTGATGTCACCGGTCTCTAGTGAATGGACAGGCTCTAGCGAATGGACAGTGATATCATCGGTCTCTAGTGAATGGATAGGCTGCCGCCTCAGTGATGTCACCGCTCTCTGGTGAATGGATAGGCTGCATTCTCAGTGATGTCACCAGTCCAGGGTAAAGGAACAGGATGCAATACCAGCAACGTCACCAATCTCTAGTGAATGGATTGGTTGTATTTTCAAAGCTGTCACTGGTATCTAGTGAATGGATGAGCTGCCTAGCTACTGATGCCACTGTTGACATTCATCTAATTACCCACCAATCATTCTTTTTTATAAGTTTAGCAGTTTTCTATTTCCTTGCCTTGGTATGATTGCATTATGACATTTTACCACTAGGTGGCACTGTATGATTAATACTTCGTACACATTCACTTTTCGCTACCCATCTGTGTTTCCATGGATGTTTATTTCCCCCAGAATGTACTAGTCAAGCA